GGTGGCAATGATGCGTAGATAAAATTGTATTTTAATATCCGTTGTATGGACATCGTTTATCACTTGATGTAAACTGATGGTTGTTGCACGAAGGATATTGACCTGAACTTCCTTCGTGCGTGCATCGTTATGAAATTAAGATAATCAGACGGCAGGTGTTATAGAAATAGACGACATTATCTTAGAGGTACAGCGAATCCACCCACAAATTACATAAATTGCCGTGATAATTACGACGGGAACTTAACAAAAGTCAGAGTCATTAAGTTAGAATGAAAGTGAAATCTTGTGCACAACATCGTTTTATCTTTCCTTTTGCAAAATTCTAAGCGTGTATGATACTTCCTTTATCTTTCGAAATTTTTTTTCTATTTTTCGTGGATTTTTCTGCGTTACCTGAAGTTCTAGATTTGGATCTAGAGATTTGAATTTTAAATCAACTTTATCCTTATTGAATATTTAAAAGATGTCTGTTACTTTTGTAGCCGCGCGATTACATTTTATATCGCACATAAACAGAAGCAGGTTTTGGTGAGGAGAAAGCTTGCTTATACATTTTTGTGTCTGTAATTAACACACATATATAAAAATATTCATATATGCATGCACATATCGATGCATCTTGACACACATGCGAATTTGCGAAACGAAAGGAAGACGTCAAGTAATTAGAACGCTACTGTGGTACGCTACTGCATATCATTTCTTTATTCCATTATCTTCTATTGTCAGTCACCTTGCAATTAAATCATTCACATTCATTAAATCACTTTGTTGCGATGGGCATCGGGATTTAATGGTATTTCCTTTATTTTTATTTTGAAATATCTTTTTGCATAATAGATTTAGCGCGTTGATGTTTCTAAAAAGCTGAGAATTTTTATCCACCAGCCTAACAATTAAAATGCATTCAAACAAAAGCAGCTCTTCGTTTGCTGATTACTGAAGAATTACGCAAATGTGTAAAGAGACTCGTGCGTAAAATCAGCACCACACGTAGGAAGGACTTAACACGTCAGTTATGCAATGAAAGTTGTGCACGGCGGGTGCTAAATATGCAAATTTTCTCGCGAGCAGCATTATAAAGCCGTAAATGTCTGTTATTAAAGGATCCGCGTTATAAATTAAAAGCATGCAAAACAAGATAATTAATCTATAAAATTATAAAATCACTATTTCTATTTATTACTGTTACACATAAAAAGATTGATCTTTATGAGATTTGAAAAGTAGGTTTGTAGAAACGATCTCACTAAAAATATAGGCTACATGTAAAATTCATTTAGCTCGCATTTCAAAGACGTTCTAACTTTTTTCTTTATTTTTTATATATTTACTTTCATTAATTCATAAAAGTTTCAAGATCTATAATTGTTTATGACGAAAGATCTATAAATGTTTCGACATTTAAGCAAGTGGCATTCTTTTTGACCTTAATTTGATGTTATTGTATTGAGTACAGCTAAGAGAAAGTGTATAAATTTTGACACTGTCTGCATACACTAGGTCAATGGCTTTTCTGAACGATGCAGTCTAACAATACCAAGTAATTTTCAAATAATGTCGTGTGCAAGAAAAGTTTGCTAGTTAACGAATAATTTTGTTATTTCCGCAATCTGTTTGTCTGATACATCAGGCAGCTGTAATTCTGAGTTGTCTCAGTTCGCGTGGGATGTATCTCTAACACACGCCTCGAGCACACGCAAAAGAATAATTTCTACCGCCAGGATGTTCTCACATGTGGACTTTCACGGCGCCGCGCAAATACGTTGTTCCTGACTTGCAAGCTTCCATAAACTGAGAGTCTCGTGGGCGAGGCAGCATAATAAAGAAGAAATCCGTGAAGCCGATGACTCGCACATCGGAGTCGTTCTTGACCTGGAATATTTATTTCGATTTGAACTAGCCATTAAATCGGCTCGCAATTGATTAATGCAGCGGATCACGTCATCGAAATAAAAATATGTCTTAACATAACATGTGGCTGTAATATGGTCATTTGTTCGGCTGTGCTTAAAGGTTAAATATAAATAGAATGTCTAAAGATATAAAAAGATAAATAGAATGATTAGTATGAAAACGGGAACAGCGCGAAAATATTATTAAGCTGTAATGCTTCTTATTAAATTACAGAATTAATCTATGAGAGAAAATCAGTGTATTTAGACCATAAAGCAGCCTTCTACAAGCCTCGCGTATTTAACTTGTTTTAATTGATGACAAAACCGTGATTGCCGCCATTCATATCTTAATAATGCGCGTAGGAGTTTCGTATGCTCTATATAAACGCGCGATGCAATTTGCACCATACATATATGTATGCAGAGAAACCGTGATGCAGAATTGAAACGCACACTCACATAGTTCGATTACGGGTGGTTATAGACGATAGCTATTGATTAACCAATTGTAAGATTACAACATGTACATTACATATGCTAAAGAGACATCGACAAAAACTAATGTATTTATGTCAATCGCTCGCGGCAGAGAGATCGATGTCTGTCAAGAACATTCGCGACATTGCGCACTTCTATCCGCGTCTACACGTTGCATTGAATATACATATATTTATAAGACATTTCTTTTTTTAAAAAAAAACATATTTGTATGAGTTCATAACGAGCAGATTAAGAAAAGTTTATATTTATCATAAATGAAAAAAATTTTTGTTCTCTTTAATACTACAAAATATTAAACACTTAATAAAAATTAATATACATTTTATACATAGATGTTTTTGTTGTCAAAATTATCATAAGCATGTATATATTACATTATCCAACTTTATAAAATAGCTAAATGGTTAATTACAGCAAAAAGTTAATTAAAGGGTACAAAACAGAACACTTCCTTGACATATGTGCGTCAAAGCGTGAACCGTTGCGCAGTCAATTAATCATTGTACATCTTACTTTTATAGTAATACAATCGAGAAAGGCTATTGAAAACAGAATATGAGTCTTACATTATGATATATTTTATTTGAAGAATTAAAAAAAAAATTATAAATGTAATTAACGAATAAATGTTAAAATAATTTTAATAAGTACTTAAATGTATCAATTTAAAGTTCAGTTTAGCATCATTTTTATTAAGCTTCGTCAAAAAAAAACTGTACTACTCTCTATTTTAAATATATCCGAAGACCTTGAATGGAATTACGGAAGTCAAACCGGACTTAAAAATATGTTCGCTGTGGGGTGGCCGGTTTCCGTGACAAAATTAAAACAAGGGAACCCATGGGTTCCCGTGTTAGCCGAGTCGCAGCTGTGGGTTTATACATCTTGACGAGTTAAGGGTACGGAGGGGCGACTCGGTGACGACGCAAGGTGGTTGGGGAGGCAGGAGGGCTACAGGTGCATCGCACTCGCACGCCCTCCTTTATTACGTTCCTTCGCTTCTTCTCTCCTCTGCTACCTCATTGCTCGCTCCTCCTCGCACTTTCCGCTTCTCTTCCTTCTCTTTATCCGACTTGGCGAACACACGTCCTTCCTTCTCTCCTCCCTCTCACCCCCTGGTTCTCCCTGTGAGCTTTGCCGCGTACAGTCGTTAACATTTCACCGCGCCGGGTTGATCGCCGCAACTCTAACTTATTGTGCTATTCGCTGCACGCGCGCATAGTGCGTTTGTCTGCGTTTTGCAGGATTGCGAGCCTAGAACGAAGACGCTTTTGCGCGAATGCGTACGGCACTATCTTGTGAAAATTGCATTTACAGTTCAACGTACGGCAGAGGAATTGCAATAGGGAAGGGCAATAAACAGAAAAACGATTGCCGCAGATTCATCGTTATACTTGAGAATTTAAGAATTCAGATTTCCGCGTTTCTAGAGCGCATTCCAGAAACACGATGCGCGCTGGAGAAGCCTGGCTGCTATCGATACGCGTATTTTCTCACAATGTTAACTCCAATGCGCTATGGAGCTTGTAGTTCAATAAAATTCACTTGAGTATCGGTGGGTCTTCATTATTATTATTATAAACATTTATATAAATATAGAAAATTTATCTTTTATTCCATAATATTTGATAATGAGAAATATCTGAGTAAAAGAGAGGGAGAGAATGGAGAGTTAATTTTTTTGTACATCTCAAGGACAAAGCATTTTTATTTCAATAATATTCCAAATTTACAACAGATAAATTTATTCAGGCTCATAGAATATGTAATGTTGCAAGTTACCATGAATGATGATCTTCTATCATCTCGCTAATGAAATACTATCATTATATTTGTCATTAGTCACTGATGCTATGTCATCAGCATTTAAATGTGCTTGTGATTTATTTATATTTTATTCCATAACAACCGAAACATTTTACCTGTATTTATTGTTAAGATATGTATGTCCTTCGTTCAAACGGTTTAAACGGCACTTGCACATATTGCACGGCCTATATGTTGGGGTTGATGGATCAACCGACTTCTTTGGTGCATATTCGTGAATTAGCCACACAGTGAAGCGGTCGGCGAAGTGGTTTATTCGCCGAACAGGTGTTCGACCGGTGTAAGTTTACCCGTTGTGACTGAAAAACGGTTGACGGTTTCTTGCGGTTTCGTATTCACGCTTGATTTTCCGATGATTTTTTACAACCGCGGTGCTTTCCTCATGATTTATACACCGTGAACATCGCGGGGAATGTCGAGTGCCCTTCTCCCCCTCTCTCTTTCTCTTTCTTTCTCATCTCCGGATGCAGCGTGATCGTGAAAAGTCGTTCCCAGAGTGCTACAAAGACTCAAACGCGTAGTGCCGTTTTTTGCGAAACCACTTGTGAATTTGCGATGATGCAATTACCGTTGGTGAGTTCTGCGTGAAGTCATCAGACTATTACGTGTTTAAGGAATCTATTTGAATTTCTTTCGTGATGTCTTGAGGAAGGATATGGAAATTTAATCACCGCTAAAAATTTTCGCACATCATTACCGAGAAATTAATTTGCACATTCGTATGCGATATTTATACAATATGACTAATGTCAGTGTAATTTTTTTTTACAGCAAAGATGAAACATCTTTGGCCGTTGCTGGCGTGGATACTTCTATCTTCGTATCCGGTAAGTAGACGTTTATCTGCAACCTTTCATTAAATTTAAAATCCATCTTGGTTTCTCACGCGTGTAAAGAGACTTAT